GCTGCCGGCGTCGCCATGGGGGACGATATGGACGTGATCCCGGAGCGAGAGATGAAGGTGAGGGGCGGGGGAAGAGCAGGCGGACTGTGAGGGGGCAGCGTGCGGTGCTGGGGGAGTTGACGGGCGGTTTTGCTCGGGCCGGAGGCGTCGGCTTGGGCTGTGAGGGAGGTGACAGGCCATGGTGGGGGGTCGGCACACGGTCTGTGAGGGGAAGGGGCCTTGGGAAGGGCTTGGCCTGTGCTGTGAGAGGTGATAGGCTATGGGAGGGACTTGGTTTGGACGTGGGGCTGACAGGCCGGTTTGAGGGGGAGAGGGAGTGTTGGCTCGGGTCATGGCGCGGGGACCTTTTGAAGTATCCTTGCAGGGTTCGTGAAGCACTTGAGGACTCTTCAGCAGAGTCTCGTACAAGCCTGTGGAGTGGAAGAGGGAGGGGCTGGCATGGCCTGTGATGGAGGGGGGTCTTGGTAAGGCCTGGGGGAGGAGAGACTATGTGAGAGTTGGAGAAACCTTGTTTTGGGAGAGGAATGATGTCTTTCTAAGCCTTGCTGTCCGCATACCTTGTGCTGGGAATCTCCTGCTTTTGGGAACAGCATATGTGGTTGTCTGCCATGGGGCAGTGTAAAATGGAGTCTTGCTATGTGGTGCCAGCCTAGCCCATCGCTGTGTCTCCCAGAGCGTTACTGTGAGGGTGTATAAGCAGGGACATGAAGGGGCAGATTTCTGAAGGTCATGTGGATCTTTGTGCAGCGCTTTCTGCTCAGGCACCTTCAGAAACAAGGGTGTTGGGCTGTTTGTTTTGCGGAAGTGTATGAATTCCTGCAGCCTCCTCAGGTTGCAGGAACGTACTCAGTGCTTGGCAATAATTTGGAAATAAACCTCAGATGCTTGATTTGAGTTACTAGTCTTAGAACCAGTACTCCCTTGAACAACTGGCACCTTGGGAAGCCAGATGCTCATTCCTAAGGGGAACCTCAAGTTTTGCATGGTAATAATGTAACTGCTGTTTCTTAATTCAGTTTATGTTTTTGGAAATTTATTTTTAATCTCCTATTCTGCTTTTCTCTTCCCCATTTTACAAAAGTACAGTTTAAATTGTGAGAGAGATGAGTGCAAAAAACCTGGTGTGGTTATACAGAGTAATTGCTGGGGGTGAAAGGAATGACTGTTCTGGGCAAAAGAAAGATGGATCTAAGCAGCTGTGTGCTTTGTAGCTTTATGGCAACAAGTTTTATTCGATCATGTTGTAGCTCTGCTTTGTTCCCCTCTCTCTTTTTTTCTTTTTTATGTATTGGCTAGTTTTGGTATGTTTCTGAGAGGGTTAGATGACCTGGACAGGTTGAACTCCCACAAGTTTTATGAATATAGACTGCTCTTCTAGAGGTGTTCCGCCAACGGAAAAAATGTAATGTAATCTCAGTCTTTCTTAGATGAGACAGAAAATGTGATGGCCAATGGCAGAGTGAGTGTGGACTCTGCCTTGGCAGGTGTTTTACAGCTCTCGTGGAGAGGCTTTTCAACTTCCTGTCTTAGAAAAACTAAAGTAAACTGTTTGTCTTTGCCAGCATATGTACAGCTACTTAGTAACTCTCTTACAACAGGATTTCCAGTTCAGAGCACTGAAGAAGGTCCGCATCTTTGATGCTCCTGATGATCTTCCCAAAGAGCGCTCCAGTCTCCTTGCAGTGTCTAACAAATACGGGTTGGTCTTTGCTGGTGGAGGAACCAGCCTGCAGATCTTTCACACTAGAAATCTTCTCATGCAAAACCAGCTGGGAGAAGATCCCAATAAAATTGGTAAGGCACACTTATGTCTCATGGTCTTTGC